ATCTTCAGATGTCCTGGCCCTTCCTTTCTTCCTCCCTCCCTCCCTCCTTCTCTTCATCAAATATAATTTAACACTTATTGTTCACAGGGAGCATTATTAGGAACTAGGGTAAGACTGGGGAGAACCATAACATGGATCTTTTTCTCAAGGAACTAACCTCCCCAAAGTGGGGAGAAAACTTGTGCACAGATATTCACCACGTCTGGTCCCAGGACCTAGATGCCTTTTCACACTTAGTTCTTTCTGCCTGGAATGCCCTTTCCCCCTTATTTGCTGGAGATTGCCCATTTATGGTGGAGTCCCTGGGTGGCACAAATGGTAAAGCACTCGACTGCTAACCAAAAAACTGGTGGTTCAAATCCACCCTGAGGCACCTTGGAAGAAAGGCCTGGCAGTCCACTTCTGAAAGATCATAGCCATAGAACGCAGTTCTACTGTGAAGCAAGCACCTGAGGTTTCCATGAGTCAGGAAAGACTCAACAGCAACTGGTTTGGTTTTTTTTGTTTCCCATTTATGATGCTTCAAGACTCAGTTCAAGGTCACCTCGTTTGTCAAGTCTATCCTGGTGTCTGTCCCTCATTCCCTCTCTAAGATAATATGGCAGCCTGTGCACACCTTTAATATAAAGCTTTCTATACAGTTATGCATCGCTTAACGTCCATAATACTTTCTGTGAAATAGGACATTGGGTGATTTGGACGCTGTGTGAACACCATATTACATACAGGCAGTCCCCGGGTAATGAATGTCCAACTTACATACAACCTGTAGTTACAAACAAACCCCTATAAAGCCTATTATATTAAAAATTCGAGATACATACAATGGTTCGTAATAACAGATGGCTGCTACTTTGCAACACACATCAAAACATTATTATTACTGTATTATTATGTTAAAGATGTTTTAGTGTATATGGAAGTGTTTCTTTAATGTTTTTTATGTACTTTACCATTACACACCTGGTAGTGCAATCACTTCATATACAAAAGACGTGAGATACACGTGTTGCACGTGGGAAGCTGTTGTGTTCACTATGTCTGGTTACATCCACTTCAACCTGTTCTCCGGTCAGAATTTCTGAACTTATGGGACCATGGACGTATATGGGGCTCCCCAAATGGATGTTATGTGGCACATGATTGTATTATACTGTGATCATTAGTTTCTTTGCCTGTTTTATGAGATCACGTGCTCTTTGAAGAAGGGACTATGTTTTAATCATCTGGGCAAATGTAACTCAGTATTCTCTAATTGCTCCCCTGTTGGCACCAGGACAACCCATAATGCCACAGGAACTCCCTACAGAAACACTCCTGGTGTGAACCAGTCCTTATCTCCTGTGGCCAAAGTGTGCCCCTGGGCTTCACATTTCTTTTATTGCCTTGGCCACTTCCACAAGTACCACAGATGGCCTAGCTCCTGAGAGTAAACTTCCAGGTCCTGTGGTCTTGACCTTTTTCTTTGAGATCCCTGTAGTTGCCCTCTACCCCAATCCCTTTGAGCTATGGCCCTCTTTGACCTTCCAGAATCAGAACAACCTCAATTTTACCTCCTTACCCAGGTCTCCCCTTCTCTTGCTTTCTTATCCCACCTTGGCAGGGGATCATGATTTTGTTGTTGGAATAGGAAACCAAGAGCCTAAAGCCAGAAGACCTTGAGTCTATATAATCTGGTTTACTTTTTTCAATGCTTTGTCATTCTGAATAGGACTGACAATGCCTGGGTTTAGTAGTGGTTCTGCCAGTACTCTTTCTTATCCTCAGTTTCTTCATCAGTACACCCAAAGTGCTGAACCACCTGATGTTAAAGGTTGCTTTTGGCCCCAGCTGTCTTTGATTCTGCTGGTGAAACCTACTTGAAGACATGGGATAATTTTGAGGTTCACTGAACAAGTATTTGCAAGATGCTCTAAGTTGCTAAGATGAATGTGATAATACAGCCATGAGAGTTGCAGGATTCTAATGTATTTGTATTTCTGAGGATCTGTATTATGTCTGCATGGTAGAAGTTGGAGACATACCTCCTCCCTGACTCCTAGTTTCCGAATGAATGAGGGACTTTAAGAGCAATCTTTATTTAACAGGTCATAAAATCAACCATGGGAAAAGGTAATATCACAACTATCTTTAAGGACTTCACACTCACAGCTACACTTTGGGAGGCAATATTAGATATCATCCGGTGTTAAAAATGTTTTGATTTTAAAACACTTAATGAGGATTCGCAGATAAATTAAAACATCTCCATCTGCTGTCTTGCATGGTAGGTGATATTTTACCATTGCACAATAATCTCCAAATCTAATTCCACCAGGAAGACTTGTAATCGCAGTTTAATTTTAGAGCGGTATTCCGCTTGGCAATCAATAAAGCACTGTCGTCAAACTTTGATTTAATAGGAGACGTGGATAACATTCTTCACATTATGTGGGGAGAGAAATACTTTTAGAAAAGCAAGAGAAGAACATCTTTGTCTCTCACTTTCCCCTGCTGCATACCATTTGAGCACACAAAAGCCTATAAATCAATAGCCCCATGTTGTGTGAATATAAATCTCATCAATTTTGCATCATTAACACCATGAAAAAGCTACCGCTCTTTGAGCAATTTTCCTCTGCTAGCTAAACATGTCTTCTTAATAAAACAAGGATAAGTGGATCCTGATTATTTTACTAACAAACACTTCCTTCTTCACTAAGTTTATTTGTGTCAAAATCCATTAGAATTATACACTTGTCTTATTGCTATTTGAGGGGTTAGGGTGACTGGACAGTGATACCACTGTCTAAGCTTGATATCCGATGGGCAGTGGGCAACCTTGACAGGCCAGGAAGCCAAAGGGATAACCCAAAGTTGTCAGAGAGGTTAATAAACGTTCAGACTTTGGAAGGTTAAGGTGAGACAGCAAGTAGAAATGATTCATAAGGTTAGAATCCTGGAAAGATGGCAACAGGCTGGGAGACGGATGTTTCAGAAGGTGATGGCAAGGGATCTAGAAGGTGATAAACATCATGAGACCCCAAGGCCCACTGTCCCGGGAGCGCGGCTGTGTGGTGCAAGGTACTAATGGCTTAAAGATCTGGAAAGCCAGGACAAGATCTTAGAGAATATCTACCCCTGATGGCGCAGTGGTTAAGCGCTCAGCTGGTAACTAAAAGCTCAATGGTTCGAACCCGTGAGCAGCTCCACAAGAGAAAGATGTAGCAGTCTACTTCCATAAAGATTACAACCTTGGAAACCCTATGGGACTGTAATACTCTGTCCTGTAGGGTCACTGTAAGTCAGAATCAACTCGACGGCAATGGGTTTTTTAGTCCAGGGATTCCAAACATTATCATAAATAAGTTTCCCATCTGTTACATTTCTCCTTTTCTCCTTGGGCTCAGTAATAAGGGGAAGATTTGATCTACCAAAAAAATATGTTTATGCAGTAATCATTCACTTTCTTATTTAGATTATTTAAACCCATAACTAATTGCCTGTGAGAGAGTATGCTCAAACATGAGCTAGGGAGTATAACAATAATAACCTGCTATAATTTCAAATAAACTTGGCATTTTCATTTGCATATACAATGAAATGTCCAGCCTTATTAGGAATTACTATACAATTTTTGTTTGGGTTTTTGAAATGTGGACAGTTGTGTTCCTGGCCTCTTTTATTACTTTTAATGACCCCTGTAGATCCAGGGCTTTGGGTCCTGTCATTGATCTGGTCCAACCCCCTCTTTTGATAGATGAAGAAACTGAGGTCCCGAGAGGCACAGTGATTGCCTTGTGTTCACATGGTAGGTAGAATTCAAGCCTCCTGACACCCAGTATAAAGAAAAGACCTTTACAATGACTTTAAACACATCATATAGAACCCAGATGCACATTTAAACCTTTACAGAGTACTATTTAATGAGGATTGCTTTATGTAGGTTTAATATAGGGAAATAACCAGAAGATCATCATTGCCTAACAGATGGTGAACCTTATTTCTTGAAGCTGAGATTATAAAGGCAGGAAGGTGAATTTCAAAATATTTTCAAAAGTACTGATAATTGAGCCCAATGTATTTTATTTAAACATCTATGATCGAGGTACAATGCAAGGTGCTAGGATGGTGGAGATGAGGAAGACAGAGCCTGGTGGGGAAGACAGACAAGGAAGCAGGCAAATAGAGAAGGAGAAGCTACGGAAGTAGGAAGCCCAGGGAGCTATTTGCGATGAATCCATCAGGTGTTTCAGTATCACTAGAGCATAAAGTTCTATGGAAGCACGAAGAAGGAAGGAATTATTTCTGCAGAAAGAGGAAGGGCAAGCCTTGTTCAGGGAAGCTTTCCCAGAGATGGTGCTACTTCAGATAGCTTTTGAAAGAGCAGTAGGATTTGGGTAAGTGGATAAAAGAAGAATGGGCCTTGCAGAAGGAGATACCACCCCATTCAAAGGCTTAGTGATATGTGTAGTCCCATCTCTAGGCCAAATGGTTACTTAGGAGGACGTAGAGAAAGGTATTCCTTCCTCAAGATACTCTTTATCACCATCTGCCAGAAAAATTTTACAATAACCATACAAATCTATGGTACCATGAATGTAAATTGTGCCCCCTGGAGCTGTGCAGGGTACATCCTGCACCATGGCAAGCAGAGGCCCTGGGTATGTAAAATGTGGAACGTCAGGCCACAAGCTAGGCTTTGTCATGAAGAAAGATCCAGCAAAGCCTGTGCTACTGAATTTGACTGGTTCTGGCAAGCTGAATGAAACCCTTGCTGCAGATGCTCACTCAGCGTATGAGCAGTCCTGTTTTATCTCTCTGGTCACAGCATTAAGACCAGGGAGGGAAGACTCCATTTCTCAAGGGCAGGCATAGCTCTTTTTCCTTCCATCTGGACCAAACAGCTTTTCCAAAACCCTTCGGGCCTGTTCTCACACATAGCAGAAACACATCTCTTACTGATCAACAGCTCAAAGGGAACATCCCATAAAATATGCTTTTCCTTTTGTCTCTGATAGGCCCTTCAGCATCATCATGCTGTTCACGAAATTTCCTACATTGCAAAGGACATCACAGACCACCGAGCCTTTGGATACGTTTGTGGGAAGGAAGGGAATCACAGATTTGTGGCTATAAAAACAGCCCAGGCGGTAAGTATCTCCACCCAAGGAGGGTGTCTTTTCTTTTCACTTTAGGGGACAACACAGTGACTCTGTTGGTCTTTGAAGGCCCACTCTGATGATAGGAGCAAGAGATGTGTCACCACTAAAAATGGGTGCTCAGCTTTCCATCTTGAAAGGATGAACAGCCTTGGAGCAAGAAAACATGCTCATACCCATCCAGTTTTTTTTTCCTAATGAGTATTTCCTAATGACTAATTATTTTCCTTTCTGATTAAGCTGGATAGAGGCACAGTATTGAAATAAGTTTCCTTGTGTTCATAGCCTCATTTAAAAAGAAAATAAGAGAAAACAAATAGCTGTTTTATATAAGCCTTACCCTAACTTTATTGTACTCAAAATTACTAATAAATAAAAGCAATGCCTTTTATGCTTATGATTATTATGAATTTGCAAATATAATTAGTTAAAGAAATGAACTTTAGCCTAGATACAATTTGCTAAACGAGGTAGAATTAATTAAGGATAGAATGCTTTCAGTTTAATAGAAAAACGAAGGGCTGCAGGTTGTAGCCAGCAAAAACAAAAATTGGTCGCTGCAGCTCAGTACCGTTTCCTTATTAATGCACTTACCACCTTTTACTCCAGGCTGAACCTGTTATTCTGGACTTGCGAGATCTGTTTCAACTCATTTATGAATTGAAGCAAAGAGAAGAATTGGAAAAAAAGGCACAAAAGGATAAGCAGTGTGAACAAGCTGTGTACCAGGTATACCTGTGAATTTTTCCTGGTGCCAGAGAAGATTGGGGCTTAAACAGATGTGAAAACTGCCAGTCAGGGCTTCTCTTCCTGCTGCCAAGAAGAAATAAACAAAGATGAAAGGTTCCCGTGTAAATTGCAGGCACCCAAAGCAAGCCATTAGACATGATCCCTTATTCTCTGAGATTCTAGAGAAAGTGAAGTCTTTAAAGGAAGATTTCAGGGGAGGAGGGCTAAAGAAACACAATTGCTTTTGCTCTTGTTAGCAGTGGGGGTGGTGGCATTGGGGAGGGAGGGAGAGCTGCAAGGGTTTTGCCTTTTTCTGTGTTTTCTTCCTTAATGACTCACCAGCCTTTCCTACCCAAAGCTCATTTCTTTGCTGTCCTGTAATTTCTGAATACAGTCTTACATCTCTTTCTTTATATCCTCTGCCCTTCACCCTCCCGTCTCACTCTGTCGTAGACAATTTTGGAAGACGATGTCGAAGACCCTGTATACCAGGTAATTTGTGAAACAAGTCGGGTTTTAAGTTCAGGACTGGCTAGGCCTGAGGCAGAGCCACTCTGTCAGAGACCTGAAGAATCCACGGGCTGCGGAGCCTGGAGAGGGACCAAGATTATTTCTGAGGGTGAGGTCTGCCAGCCCCTCCAGGAACGAATTTCCATAAAAACGAACAGAAGTTTGGCCAGCACCAGTAACGTGGGATTTGGAGATATGCCTCTCCCTTTTTGCCCCTGCCTCAGCCCCCTCCACAATCTGTAAAAGTTTGATCCCAGAGCTGAATGTTTTCAAGAGCCTCTTGAATATTCTGAGTTCATTAGCGAGAGAATGAATAATGAAGAGGTTTCTCTGAGTTAAGAACTGGAGACAGGGACTGACATTTTGGCGGAATCTTAGCGCAAACCCAAAGGATGGTTTGTAAGTTTTAGAAAGGATATGAGGAGAAGTCTCTGGACCCTATTAGCCAGGCTGACCCTCTGATTACCTGGATCATGCCACAGGGGCTGTTGGGAGGAGGCAAAGGGTGAACACAGAGACCTCTCTGCCCAACGAGAAATTACTCTGGACTCTCTTCAAGGACCATAGCCTCTCTCAGGTTGAAATCTGTGCTCTGTTCAAGCAGAAATGCTTATTCCCAAGGAGAAAGGGAAGCCAAAATACTGACTTATTAGACATAAATTCTGGAACATTACAATTCTGAGATACACATGTATTATATGTATGTGTGTTGTGTGCATTATATACACATGAAGTAAATGCATATTTTCCCACAGAAAGCTGGGACTATTACAATGAGAGTAAAATAATATGGATAGCTTGAAGTTGAAGAAGTTTTTAGTGTATATGGCAAGGAAAAGTCACAGATGCACTTAATGAAAGTCCCTTACTTTAGGATCCTGAGGGGTGATGAGATGATTCATTTACGAGCTCAGCCCCCGACGAACTGACTCACAGAGAATAAAGAATACTCTCCTTTTTGAAATGTTCTGATTCTTTAGCATCTGAAACATGCACATGGAAAATGGGATTTTCAGTATTTGAAACTGAGAATAAGGTGATATTTATGGGATGAGGGAGTTGGGGCTTCTGAGCACTTCAGGATTGGCTTAGAACCTTGGGGCCTTAGGGTGCAAAAGGAGGGGAAAGCTGTAACCCAGAATTTACTGGGGATCCCAAGCATTCCCAGCAGATATCATTCTGACTCAGCGATACCAGCATATTCAGACCTTGCTGAGATCGAATGCCGATGAGTGAAGAGGTTCTGTCTCCAGAGAGATCTGCAGGGGCCCATGTAGTCATTGCTAAAGGGCTGACTGTCCAACCTTTGGGGCTTTTCTTTAAAAAAAAGCGCGAATATGCAAGCCACATTGTTATTTCAGTGGTTTGTTTAAGGCGTTTTTTTGTGTGCCTGTTTCTTTAATGCTCACTGTCATTCGTATCTTGAATTCCAAGTGTTTGTTTTCCTCTTTCTTTTTCTTTTTTACCTCCGACCTGTCCTCTCGGGCTGCTCCTGTCCTCTCGGGCTGCTCCTGTAATAGTACATTGTGTTTGAGGCTGGACACGAGCCAATCCGTGATCCCGAAACAGAAGAAAACATTTATCAGGTATAGAATTGCTTGCTTCTCTTACCACTGCACCACTGCCAGCAAATGCATGGAAGGGTCGTCAGCAGTAAGAGGTCTCTCTGTAGATGGTCCGCATAGCTGTTTTAGTCATCCCAGGCTTGCTGAAATATCTTCGTGTGAATTGGCTTCTAGTTCCCCTGCAATTTACCAGATTTTTTTTTTTTTTTTAATTTGCCAAGATTTTTCATGCCTTGTTGTTGTTGATATATTTAGTGGCCAGTTGGGTAAAGTGTTTTAATTTTTAATGACTCTTAACTATTCTAAGTAGATACAAAAATCAAACGTTCTATTTTACTGAAGTAATACATTGGAGGGTTGTTGTCTGTATGCAATGGGATCTCTCATCTCTCAAAGTAATTTGCTCATCAAATTTCTTTAAAAAGTCAACTCCACTACTGAGAAATAAAGTGCAAATTCAAAAATGCTATTTGAAAACAACTTTGGGAATATTAACTGAATGAAAGAAAGAACAGCTAAAGACTATCCCTTTCAAAGAGAAGGTAAATTAATATTCTTAATTGTCTATTACATCCGGAACACTGAATATAGTTTTTAACTCATTTAATTCTCACAAAAATGCCGTAAGATACATTTTTAAATCCCATTTTTATCTGGAAACTGAGGCTTGGAGAAGTTGAGTAGCTTCCTCAGGGTTGTATGACTGTTTTAGAGTCAGGTATCAAACCAGGAGTGCCTCTGAAGGCAGAGCCCAAGCTCTCCCCATCCTGCATTTCCATCCAGTGTTTGAATAGTGGCAGCAAAACAGCACCTCAAACAAATAGGATGGCCTCTAATTTTTCACTAATTGGTATTTGAATCCTAACTTGAAATATAAACATTATGGGAGAAGAAAATAATTTAATATATGATTTTAATTTTCATAATTGGTTGTGTGGATGGCTGTTACTCGTAGTACTTGTTGCTGTTGAGTCGATGCTGACTCATGGTGACCCCATGTGTGTCAGAGTAGAACTGTGCTCCATAGGGTTTTCAATGACTGATTTTTCAGAAGTAGATTGCCAGGCCTTTCTTCCAAGGCATCTCTGGGTGGACTTGAACCTCCAACCTTTTGGTTAGCAGCCAAGCACACTAACAGTTTGCACCACCCAGGGACTCCACGTGTAGTCCAGTACTGTGTAATTGAAATAGAATATATTTTTGGTTTCTATCAAATAGAATTTCAGATGACGAAGATATAATTTTAGTTGTACCAACAACTCGATGAAAATCAGCCTTGTAGAATAATAATCTAAGCATTTCTATCCACCAGGTCCATCTGGATTCTAATCAGGTTTAAGGTTCTACTTTGAGGTTTTGTTTAAAGTCATCTCTTACAAATTTCCATTAGAAAAAGTTGCGTTTGTCTTCAGTGTCAGATTTTAAAGTACAACCTTGCAGTGTCTGAATATGAGGCCAAAGGAACCATTAACCAGTCATCCTACGAAGAGAGATAACCTTTAAAATAAAATTAGGCTTTTAGTGTAAGAGGCTTCTGAATCCAGGCTTAAGCTGTAGTTGGCAGGGTTCCCATCGTGGCTGTGCGGGCCTGGTGTGGCGGGCACAGCCTAGTGGACTGGAAAGAACTGTTTTAGGAGGGTGGAGAGCTGGGTTCTTGTTCTGGCTCTGTCACCAGCTACTTGTGGTAGTGGGCAAGGCATTTGCCTTCTCGAGACTCAGTTACCGCAGTTGTACAATAGGGGAATAATTTCTCTCTAATGTACATGTTGGTGTGAGAATGAAACAAAGTCGGGTGTAGGTGCATCTTCCAAACCACCGAGTCTGGTGTGCAAATTAGAATGCCAGCAAGAGGCGTCATCTTGGGGCACAGAATGTAGAGCCTGGGTGTGTGGATTTGAGATCTTAGTACAAGGACCATCTCAGCCATTCATTCAGTTTGTCAGCTGGCTTTCCCTCTCTGGGCCTCAGTTTACTTATCTGTAAAATGAGTGGATAAGACTGAAGGATCTTTCAAGCAAGGCTCTTTCCTTTTCTTTGCAGCTAGTATCTCACCATTGGCCTCTGATTCTTCAGAGAAGCATATTGGCTTGCTTTACAGGGCAGCAAGACCCTGAGAGACTGTGTGTTTGTGTGTTGCTAGCATTTATTGAGTGCTGATTTGTGGGCCTGCTCTGTGAGTGGGGATTACATGCATTATCTTATTATCTCTCACAACTACCCTCGGTGGTTTGAGTCATTATTCCTACCTTACAGACAAAGAAAATGAGGCTGACAGAGATAAGGCATCTTGCCCAGGGCCACAGAGCCAGCCAGAGGGAGAACTGCCCTTCACACCTAGGTCCCTCTGTCTCTGAAATCTGCACACGTAACTTTTGTAAATAAATAACTATATTTATTTACATAAATAATTCAGATTATTATTCAAGGCTGTTTTCAGTTCAGGATTCCCTGATTTTGAGCTTCACAATTAGATTCTGTGCCAGCCATCAAGTCACTCTAAAAATCACACTTGTCTTAACAGCTCTGACCCCTTGATCTTCCCGTCTGTCATTAACAGGAAGGTGCCATTTAAGGGAATGAATATTTTATCGCCCTCTATTGGAAAGGCCTCTGGTCATTCTCCTCTCCTGCTTAGCTAGTCCACCGGGGCACAATTTGCTCATTAACAAGAGAGAAGCTCTTGGCCTAAAGATAAGGTTGGGCTTTTAAAGAGCTGTTATTAGGAGCTTCATTCTTTTTTTTTTTTTTTTTTAAAGCCTAATAGTATCCAATACATAATTCCTTCTGAGTGAATTGCAGTGTCCAGGATGGTCTCAGATTTTATTCCCCTCTGATTTGTGGAATCAGGTAAACAGCCCTGGGACCTAATCCTTTAACTGCTTCTGTGACCTTGGGCAAAGTACATAACCTTAGTATTTCATTGTCTGGAGCTATAAAATGGGGATAATATATTATCTGCTCCTAGAAATGATGTGTAGGTGTAAAGTGACAAGAATAGCACTTGGTACACAGTAGATTCTGGGTAAATGTTAGTTTCCTTTACTTCCTAATGTCATCAATATCAGGCGCTATTTAAGATGTCTTATGATGATGTATTAAGTGAAGTAAAACATAACTTGCTCACCTCACCTTGTCAGAGAGCCTAGCAGAAGGCCGCAATCTCTCTTGACTTTACTATTTATAACTCTAGCATAACAGAAGGCGAACCCCTTGAGTAAATGTCACCTCTCTTTCAGGATCAGTAGTCTCATTTTCCAAACTGTTTTAATAATAATGTCTTTCACTTTGAGTGCCCAGAAAAAGTTACCCATTGTGTTTTTAAAATGATATAGAGCCTCACAGTACAAAGTTTTTACACATCACTTAATTTTGACCCTTCCAATAACAAAGTGAGATAGGAAGAACAGCTATGATGACTATCATTTTAAACATGAGAAAATCAAGTTCCCCCAATTTGTATGCTATGCCCAAAGTCAGGGCTTCTGATTCTAAATCCAGTGTTCTTTAATACCTCATCAAGCTTCCTACATAAGCGAGATCTGAGCTTTCCAAGTGGGCGTTATCCAAGTTCACTCCTTCAAAAACCATCTTTAATTACCCAAGATGTGTCAAGTATTGTTATTTTAAAATTATAAGGCTCTAATCCCATGCCAGAGTCCCTGGGTGGTGCAAACAGTTAAGCGCTCAACTACTAGCCAATAGGTTAGCAGTGCAAAACCATTCCAGAGGTGCCTCAGAAGTCAGGCCTGGCAGTCTGCTTCCAAAAGTTCACAGCAATGAAAACTAAGGAGCAGTTCTACTTTGCACACCTGGGGTCACCATGATTCAGAACCAATTCAACGGCGGCTAACAACAAAAATTCCATGCCACCCAATGCACCCTTGAACTGCCTCTCCACACTATCAATTAATATATTGATAAGCTATAAGTGTCTTCTGTATGTACAATGTGTAATATATAGTTTGTAGAGTACTTTTATATATATTAACCTGTTCATTCAAAAAATATTTATGGAGCACCTAGCACATGACAGGCACATGGCGATATTGTAGTGGTCATGGCATGGTCCCCACCTTCAAGGAATTTATAGACGGTGCCTTAGATGCGCACACAACCAGATGAGGAAACGGAGGTGCAGAGAAGAAAGTAAACTCTCGAGGTCACACAACCTGTGGCAGAGCCAAGATTAGGAATCAGATCTCCATGTTGCTTCCAGCCCAGAACTTAATCACTCTACAACACTGTTACTGAAATGGCATGTGTAGATGAATGGACCAGGTGAGCCAGAGGTGAGAGCTGGAACCATGCTTCTCTTTGTCTTCATTCCTTTAGCATTTCTAGGAGTGTTTTGCCTCAGCACACATGTGGTAAATGATTGGTAATTAGACATTTTCTTGATTAAACAGTATTTTACAGAGCAAATCTGGTCTGTCATACTGTAGTAGTTTTCATGTTGCTCTGATGCTGGAAACTATGCTACCAGTCCAAATACCAGCAGGCTCACCTGTGGTGGATAGGTTTTAGTGGAGCTTGCAGACTAAGACAGGCTATGAAGAAAGGCCTGGTAACCTACTTTTGAAAATTTGCCAGTGAAAACCCTATGAATCACAACAGAATATTGCCTGATATAGTGCTGGAAGATTAGCCTCCTAGGTTGGAAGACACTCAGAACACACAGTGGCACCATAAGGGACTCAACTATACCAACGATCGTGAAGATGGCGCAGAATCGGGCAACATTCTGTTCTGCTGTACGTGGGGTTGCTGTGAGCCAGAGTCAACTCAACAGCAACTAACAACAAGGGCCCAACAGAGCAAGTGCCAGATGCTGGGGATACAACGATAATAAAATATCCGCCCTGTCCTCCGCAAGCTTCCAGAGCAATGGGACTACAGGCTCGGGAACAGACAGTTACCATGTGATGTGATAATGCCAGTGCTAAGATAAAGCACATTTTAAGCTCAGCTTCAGCAGCCCGATTACTTGTCCATCTCCCCCAATAAGACATGCAGCTCTGCTG